TGGCGCGGCGGTGCGGCCACAGTGGGCCAGAAGCCGGAGGAGGCGGACAAAACTCTAGACGCTTTTTGGGCCCAGAGTCGCTAAAAGGGACTCGAACCGAACGTGTGACCCCACCAATGATTCCTCGTTCGGAGAGCAATCCATTGCGATACCTCCTAAGCATATGCGCTCATCTGCTTTCATTCCCCCTCAACCCCGCTTAACTGCAGCGCGCGCAGCTCAACTCCGCTCAACTGGTAGCGCGCCCGGTCAACTCCGCTCATCTGCTTTCATTCCCTCTCAACTCCGCTTATCTGCAGCGCGCGCTGGTCAACTCCGCTCAACTGCGTCTAGCGCTCCTCAACACAGCTCAAGTGCAATTTTGGTGAAAAAAATGTTTTAACTGAATCTGTTGATGCATTTTAACATCTTTACGAATGTTTACGGCGAATATCGCTAAAGTGCACCGTTTCAGTGTGGTTTAGTCTTAAAAATCGGACTAACCTCGAACCTGGTCAAACGCTTCCCGATCAGAACAGCTCAAATGCTCCCGCTCCCGGCGGACGGCGCGGCGGCGCTGCAGCGGCGGGCGGTAGCAGCAGCGTTGTTGGTGTGCCCACCGAGGCGGAGGACGGGCTCTGCCTGCTTGGCCCCGAGGGACTTGTATTTATCAAAATGAAACGAAGCATGTCGATTTTGAATATGGCTCTAGAGCCCAAGACGAGAAAAGGTACGGACTTAAATAGTCTTGCTTCTGTTCTTTCGCATGATTTTACAAAAAAACGTAGATATTCATAGCAACTTAACCTCTTAGCCTTCTCACGAAACGATCTCTTTTAGTGGTTAAATAAATGTATACGGCAATTACTTTTACGACCATTGCTCTCAATTTTAGAAATTAAAAATCTGTGCGTTTTTCTCATTACTCATACGTTGCCGTTATTAGAGGTTAGACAAAGTCTGCATCGTCACCCAATGTGTCGTGTGTAAACACTCCTCTATTTTAAACGGCTTCGCAGCCAGAGTGTTGAAGTATGACTTTTGCATCTATTTAAAGTCAACGTGACAATTTATTTTGTTTGCTTCCTTTGCTTAATCCAATATTGTTACTCTTTACACTGTTTTAACCAATGTACACATTTTGTTGTCTGGGTAACCACATAACTAGAGGTTATTAAAAATTTATTAAGATTGAACTATTTATTTCCACTTTAGCACTTGCAATGTTTGATTTTGAATTCTTATCATGTATGTGGAAATGTGGTAATGAGATGGTTTTGTGCCTTTGTAGGTCCTGCTGTCGAAGGAACTGCGTCATCAGTATTAAGACCAAGACCGAAACAAAGACCAGCAGCAGGGACTGCACGTAAAGAGCCTTCAAGGCTTGCAGGATCTTCATCGCCAGCAGAAAGCTCTTGCCCTTCAATCAATGAGAATGACTTCAGGACGTTCCAGAAAGTATTGGGTACGTATCTGTGATATCTGAGGGCTAATGCCCAAGAGGATATTTTCACTCATAATTTTTGCAAGCAACGTTTTGTCTGTAATTTTTATATCTTACAGCTCTAATTTGAAATGATAGGGAAACTTTCTTAAGTGAAGTAAAACAATGATGAAACCTAAGTTGTTCAATACATTTTATTATTGATCAAGTTAAATGAAACAAGATTGGATTAATGTGCGATTCACTATGGTTTCATTAATTATTTATTTCACTTATGAATGGTTAATCATCACCAGCTCAGTGTCGCCTTCCAAAGTGAGTCCTACTACTCGCAATATTTGTGTTTGTTTTATTCACATGGAGAGAGTGCTCTGCCGTGCAACGCAGCTTCTTATATTTTTCTCTTCAAGAAGTTGCTTTCTGGCCTGGCTTAAATATTCTTCTGTTATCCCTGTCTCTGACTGTGTGCTTTGAATCAACAGCTTTGCAATGTTTTTGTGGTTCTCCTACTGCGTATGTTTTGGTTTTAAACAACTATGTCTTGACTGTCCTTGTGCTTGATAAATATCATCAATGGCTTTGCTGCATTCTTGTATATTATTATCAGTCACCATAGGCAGTAAACATATCTTATTATTCTTTCAGTTAAAGGCAGTTCTTCTCGTCCAAAACCACAACAAAGACAACCATCAGCATCCACATTAAAAAGTGGTAAGTTTTTGTTCTTATTAGCTAGGGATTCAATATTCATAATCATTTAAATCCGCTTAGAAAAAGCAAATTTCATTTTTACATTAGAATCAAATATTTTGTTTTTTGTTTTTAATTAACTGTTGGATCACTTCCAGGTCCCAAATTTGTTCGGGCTCAAACTTCCATAGGAGAAGCTGCACCGCTCCCGCCTGTGACTGCTGAGGCTGTAGACTTCCCAGCAAAAGAAATTGCAACATCTCTGTGTGCTGATAAAGGTTTTATTTCTGTCCAATTTCTTTCTTTACAAATTATTCATAAGGTGTGTTTTTTATGTTGATGCATTTTAATTCTTTGTTTCAGAGCCAAATATTACAAAGGTAAATTCTGAAATCATCAATTCTGAGCACAGTTTGAACACTGCAAGGCGAGTGCTGTTCTCAAAGGATACAGATAAAGAATTAGGTAAGGGTTAGTGGTTGCAGTGTAGAACTTTGCTCTTGTTTTCTAGTGATGCATGTCTTTTAACAGCTGATTAATTATAATCTGAAATTTTGGTTGCAGATAGTGATGATAGTGATTACAATCAAATATTTTCTGTTTTGTTTTTAATTAACTGTTGGATCACTTCCAGGTCTCAAACTTGTTCAGGCTCAAACTTCCATAGGAGAAGCTGCACCGCTCCCACCTAGTGCTGAGACAGTAGACTTCCCAGCAAAAGAAATTGAAACATCTCTGTCTGCAGATAAAGGTTTTATTTCTGTCCAATTTCTCTCTTTGCAAATTATTTATAGGGTGTGTTTTTTATGTTGATGCATTTTAATTGTTTGTTTCAGAGCCAAATATTACAAGTGCAAGCATCCCAACAGGAGAAATAGTTGCACAGCCTCTAACTGTATTTGTTAAGGCTGCAAGCGCAACCATCCCAACAACACAAGATGCTGCACCGCTCCTACCTGTGAATGCTGAGGCTGTAGACTTCCCAGCAAAAGAAATTAAAACATCTGTGTCTGCAGACAAAGGTTTTATTTTTGTCCAATTTCTCTCTTTGCAAATTATTTCACTGGTCATTTGACAAAGTGGCGTAAGTCCACAAGGAGTTCGAGTCTTTCTTTGTAAAAATGTTTCAAAGCAGCTTCTAATCAGGAACGCATTCAGAATCATTGCAGAGTTCGTTCTAAATGTACATCTAGTCAATGAGCTTGCTATAGGTAGGGTCCCAATGATAAGTCATCAAATTTACCTCATAACAAATGCCTTTGAAAGAAAATTTAGTTTCACTGTAATTGTCTAAAAGGCATTTGTTATGAGGTAAATTTGATGACTTATCATTGGGACCCTACCTATAGCAAGCACAGTGACTATATGTACATTTAGAACAAACTCTGCACTGCTTCTGAACGCGTTCCTGATTAGTAGCTGCTTTGAAACATTTTTACAAAGAAAGACTGGAACTCCTGGTGGACTTACGCCACTTTGTCAAATGACCAGTGAAGGGTGTGTTTTTTATGTTGATGCATTTTAATTGTTTGTTTCAGAGCCAAAGACTATTACAAGTGCAAGCATCCCAACAGGAGAAATAGTTGCCCAGCCTCTACTTGTATGTTCTAAGGCTGCAAACGCAACCATCCCAACACGACAAGATGCTGCACCGCTCCTACCTAAGAGTGCTGAGGCTGTAGACTTCCCAGCAAAAGAAATTGCAACATCTGGGTCTGCACATAAAGGTTTTATTTCTGTCCAATTTCTCTCTTTGCAAATTATTTATAGGGTGTGTTTTTTATGTTGATGCATTTTAATTGTTTGTTTCAGAGCCAAAGACTATTACAAGTGCAAGCATCCCGACAGGAGAAATAGTTGCCCAGCCTATACTTGTATGTTTTAAGGATGCAAGCGCAACCATCCCAACACGACAAGATGCCGCACCGCTCCTACCTGTGAGTGCTGAGGCTGTAGACTTCCCAGCAAAAGAAATTGAAACATCTGTGTCTGCACATAAAGGTTTTATTTCTGTCCAATTTCTCTCTTTGCAAATTATTTATAGGGTGTGTTTTTTATGTTGATGCATTTTAATTGTTTGTTTCAGAGCCAAAGACTATTACAAGTGCAAGCATCCCGACAGGAGAAATAGTTGCCCAGCCTATACTTGTATGTTTTAAGGATGCAAGCGCAACCATCCCAACACGACAAGATGCCGCACCGCTCCTACCTGTGAGTGCTGAGGCTGTAGACTTCCCAGCAAAAGAAATTGAAACATCTGTGTCTGCACATAAAGGTTTTATTTCTGTCCAATTTCTCTCTTTGCAAATTATTTATAGGGTGTGTTTTTTATGTTGATGCATTTTAATTGTTTGTTTCAGAGCCAAAGACTATTACAAGTGCAAGCATCCCGACAGGAGAAATAGTTGCCCAGCCTATACTTGTATGTTTTAAGGATGCAAGCGCAACCATCCCAACACGACAAGATGCCGCACCGCTCCTACCTGTGAGTGCTGAGGCTGTAGACTTCCCAGCAAAAGAAATTGAAACATCTGTGTCTGCACATAAAGGTTTTATATCTGTCCAATTTCTTTCTTTACAAATTATTTATAGAGTGTGTTTTTTATGTTGATGCATTTTAACTGTTTGTTTCAGAGCCAAATATGATAAAGGAAAATTCTAAAATCGTCAACTTTGAGCAAAGTTTGAACACTGCAAGGCGAGTGCTGTTCTCAAAGGATACAGATAAAGAATTAGGTATGGAGTGGCTGCAGTGTGGACCTTTGCTCTTGTTTTGTAGTGATGCATGTCTTTTAACAGCTGATTAATTATAATCTGAAATTTTGGTTGCAGATAGTGATGTTTCTTCTTCATTTAATCTGCTCAATGAGACTGATGAGTTTATTGCTAAGGAAGGTGAGTACAGTTCTGGCTAGGAGTAGTAATTAAATAAATAAACATTTTCTTCCACATAATGTTTTACTTTATTCTCCCAACAGGTGATGTTGCAGATTTCATACTCCCAGTAATTGTTTTGCCTCCCTCAACATTAGAAGATGGAACAGAACATGAAGGTAAACATTAGTTCATTGCTTGCTAATTGGACGTATACTTCATCTTAATGAAACTACCATCAGTCTTCTTAATTGGCAATTGAAAAATTTATTTGGAAAGTTAAGGTCAGAAATTACAAAAGAGCCCTTACAGCAACCTTATATTTTCTGTTTTCTTTAATAATTATTTTAGTTTTATACCTTTGACAAAAAATTTACTGTCTCTTAGTTACCCAAATAATTTCATTTTGGTTTTATAATATCACATGATTTTAAGTAGTTCAAAAGTTTTAAAAAAAGTATCTCCATTAATATTTATCTTTTTTTATTTTTACAGTTCTCTGGGAAGAACCTCGTGACAGTCCTGAGAAAGCTGATGCATCTGACTTTAACTCACCCACAGTTGATGATAGTGAATCTAACGCAGCTGAGAGTTCTTTTGTCACGCCACCACCTGGGCCCAGGAAAAGGAAGAGTAGGTCTGGAGGTTCCTCTGGTAGTCCTAAAAGAAAACGGTCAACAAATGAACATTTGTGGAAATCCAACGTACGCAAGACATTGAAAAACTCAGGACAAGCATACACATCCTCCAAAGGAAAAGAAATCCCTGAAGTGCAAATGAGGGGTCCCTGTGCCTGCCAAATGGACTGCAGACACCGCTTGAAAGAAGAACAACGGCATCAAGTCTTCAAAAAATTTTGGGCGCTTGGTAAACATGAGAGACAATGGGAATTTATTCGTTTGAATTCAACCAGTAAAGCAACAAAACCAAGGCGTGCTGGACAAATTTTGAAGCGTAGTGTGAGCAGAGTGTACCATTTTACAATTAATGGAGAGCAGGTGCCTATTTGTAAGCAGATGTTTATGAGGACTCTTGCCATAAGTGACAGCTGGATAACTTCTGCTTACACACATCTCAACCCGGAAAAGGGTAATACGGTATCACCTGACAAAAGAGGTGGATACAAAAAACCCAAGGATGGTTTATTGAATAATATAAAAGTGAATAGTGTCAAAGAGCACATCAATCTATTTCCGAGGGTGCCCTCTCATTATTGTAGGAAGAGGACAAAAAGAGAATATCTTGAAAAAGGACTCAGCATTGAAAAAATGGCCCGTTTATACAAAACCTGGGCTGTGGAAAAAGATATTCCTACCAATTGTATTGCATCATCACGCCAATACAGGGACATACTGAATGCTAATTTTAACATAGGATTTTACAAACCCAAAAAAGATCAGTGTGGTTTCTGTTCCATAATGAAGAATAAGGGCAATACTCGCCAGCTAAGAGAAAAGCGAAAAGATGAATGGGCTGCTCATATCAAGAACAAGAAAAAAGCCAGGGCACTTAAAACGAAAGATATTGAAGAGAGTCTAACTGACAAGAAAGTAGTTGCATGCTCTTTTGACTTGCAAAAGCAGCTGTCCTGTCCTAAGTCTGAAGACGGGGAATTTTATTATAAAACCAAGCTGAAAGTTTACAATTTCACGGTTTTTAACATGACTGAAAGACTAGGAGACAATTTCCTCTGGCATGAAGGTATTGGAAAAAAAGGTTCTAGTGAAATATCCAGTGCTCTGCTGATATACATCAAGAGACTTGTTCAAAAAGGATACTCTGACGTAAGATTCTGGTCCGATAATTGTGGCGGTCAGAATAAAAATAGGTTCTTGTTCGCCATGTACTTGTATGCTGCAGTGAAATACGGCATCAAAATCACCCACAGGTACTTAGAAACCGGCCATACACAAATGGAAGCAGATTCAATTCATGCACGAATTGAAAAAGTTACTGATAAGGAGGACATATACGACTTTGATACTTGGGTGGAATGGATTGAATCTGCCAAAGAAGAGTTGCCTATGTATACAGTACATAAGTTGACCAAAGGCAAGATATTCTCATTTGCATCTCTGGTTGACAAGCAGAATTGGGATAAAGATTTAACCCGCAAAGCAGTTACTTGGAAGAAAGTTAGGGAGTTCCATGTAAATGGGCAAGAAGGAAATCTGGTCAGACTGAAGTATGACTTTGATGCTGAATCATATGTGACACTTAGTCCCAACAAGCAAGGCCACCCTGTTAATTTGAAATCGTTTGAGCCTCCCCGGGCTTATGAATCCAGAATCCCTCTATCTGCTACTACTATAGCACATCTCACCTGGCTGTGTGACAAGAACTATGTTCCCATCCAGAAGCAAGGTTTCTTGAGAGATGTTCTTGCTGATGTTGAACCCGTTGAAGAAGAAGTGGTCTCAGATATTGACTACGACACTGCAGAGGATGAGCCTGATGATCCATGTCAAGAAAACGAACCTGATCCACAACAGGGTGAACAAGAAAGCAGTGAAGAAGAAGACGGCAACTTGGATGGTTAAAGAAGAGCTCTGGATGTATCGTCTTAAACGACTGATCTTGATTAGGAAATTAGTTGTTTATTTTTGTTAACATATTTTAATCTTTTGATTGAATTTCTTTGTTCTTTTATTTCTTAGATTTTTTAAATTCTAGTGTGACATTAAGTGTTTTGTCTTATCAGTGGGTATTTTTATGTGTTTTGATAATTCAATCATTGGATAACTTTGAAGTTATCTTAATGTGTGATCTGTTTATTATCAGTATTTTGATTCTAGTCTGACAACAAATCTGGTCTTTAATATGTTTAAAGATATTGTTTCAGAATATGTAAGTTGATCTCATACTTAGGTTCCATTAAAACTACATTTGTAGAATGTATGTCTTTTGTTATTATTTATCAAACCATCAACAAAATCATAATTGATGACACAACAATAAAACCACAAATGAACACACTTTGCTAATTTCTGACAATCGTAGTCTAATGCGAGAAAACAAAATCATTTGGACCTTGAGATAAGACGCACCATCCTAACAGTACCACAAACAAGTTAAAGGCAACGAAAGCTGTACTTCATATTTTTACCTCCTAGTTGATAAATAATGGTATTTTTTTGGGAAGTGAAGGAAAATAATGAAACTGTTGAGTAGCCATACAACACGAAGGTTTCTTAACCTCCATCTAATTATGCAGATCATTGTTGAACACCTGCAACAGTGAAAAAAGACACAAAACTAAATAATTTACCAAATAAATAGATACTTAGCTCGAACAATCTTGTTATTAAGATGGGTATAAAGGTTTAAACCTTACATTACAGCGAGGATGAACGTCGCCAGTGTCACTGCTTCAATACTTGGTTTTATCTTATTGAATCAGACACAAAATCATAACATAATGCACATGGATCGAAAGTTAAGATAACAAAGAATCCGAAACGACATACACCGCGGTGAACTTCGATGAACACGAATTGTGGCTTGCATTCAAACTTCATTCACGTCTCCTGAAAAACAGCGGTATCGCACTTGAGCGCTGTTGAGGAGCGCTAGACGCAGTTGAGCGGAGTTGACCAGCGCGCGCTGCAGATAAGCGGAGTTGAGAGGGAATGAAAGCAGATGAGCGGAGTTGACCGGGCGCGCTGCCAGTTGAGCGGAGTTGAGCTGCGCGCGCTGCAGTTAAGCGGGGTTGAGGGGGAATGAAAGCAGATGAGCGCATATGCTTAAGGACGGCATCAGGATGCAGAGGTTTCGAAAAACGATCATTCTGAGAAAAGTAACCGATGTATTCGATTGATATTTTATTCTTGGCTCAAAATCATGTCAAAGAAAAGGAAAATCAGTATGGGAGAGCAAGGAGGCGATGGCAAGATGAAGTGCCAGTGCACTTGGTTTTTCAACGACCTTGCTTCACTCCTGCCACGATTCCGCCTCTCTGGGTTGAGCTTCGCGCACCGGATTTGAAAATTTCTCAACAGGACACATGTGGCTATGGTCTGAACCACGGGCATGCCAAAAGAATGATTTCGAATTTGTTTTTTTAGAGGGCAAAAATAGAAACAAATTTTTTAACCAATTTTTTCGCACTTTCATGGCTGCAGCTCACGCCCTTTTTATGGGATGGCCATTTCCGAGGTTCAGACCATAGACGCAAGTGTAACGAACATTTTGCCGCAAACCGCATGAAATTATCTTAATTTTTGCGCCCATGAGAGTGGCGCAAAGGTACAAAAAGGTGTTTGGAGAAAAAGCCCTTTAAGTGGAAACATAGATTTGACGTGTTTTTTCGGATTATAAATGCGTCTTTTGACGTAATTTAGTTCAGTTTGCGCCAAAAGGTTCCTCTTCTCAACTGCGTTTGGGTGGTTCAAAGGTTTTGTAATTGAAGTTCAAGTGAAAACGCTGAACGTTAACAATTGGTCAAAAATATGCAAAAATAATTACCTTTTTAGCAACTTTAAAAATATGCACAAGCCAAAGTAATCGGAATTTCCGGGTGGGGTTTGCGGCCTTCGACTCTGGATGAATGTCAGAAAAATAAGATAAAATAAAAGAGAAGGCAAAAATTTGCCGATTTTCACTGGTGTGCCCCCTTAATGAATTTCTTTTTGATGGTGTTGCACGTCTTATGTTCGAGATGAGAGATGAAATAATAAGTTTCATTCGACTGTTTTCTAAAATAAATGTGTCCTTCTGAGGGTTTTGGTCATGGAAAAAGCAGGTTTTTGGCACGGACTCACGGAATCTAGTGTAAATTCGATTATGCACGAGAATCGATATCTCGAGATATCGCGATGCATCGATGTTCCCTGCCTGAGAGGAGAACCAACCGGAAGCGTTCGTTAAAAGGCAAAATTACAAATCGTCGGAGGACAATTCATGTAACGATCAGCGACTGACACATCAATCTAGCTTTGTAAAGAACGAGTCCCTCCCATGTGATATCAATTCTTTGATGTCTTTCCTTCTTGTTTTTCTTTATTCGTGGGTCGGGCCATGATACCAACTTGTTTTTATAATCAAGTGCGAAGTATCAAACCTTAAATATGGGGCATAAACGATAAGTTGTGCATTAAGATGCACATCCTTTGCACCGGAGTAGTTTTGAGACGCATAAACAAGATGCTATACCGAATTTGCCATCAGAGCTAAGTTTTCTTACAGAATAAAAAATAAAATAACTTTCCCTGGCAAAAATGGCATAAATACCACGCTGCATCGGAAAAGTATGCTACAAATCCAAAATCTGGTGTAGTGTCTTGCACGTCTTTGTTAACTTGTAAAATTTTCTAGCTGATACGTGCAAACAGTGTTCGTGAGGAGTATTTGGGCAATCGCCCCGAAATAACTCGTTTTTTGTTAGTTATCAGTATAAGCCCAAGGAGAACGAAATCGTCACTAGAAGGTCACTGTGACCTGAATGTGACCAAAATCTCGTCACCTCTCGTCACGCCATTTCAGCGTGACCTCCTGATGACGACATTTGTGAGAAAACAAATTTTGCATCAGATTGAAGTTAAGCTTCCATAAAACCAGTTCGCATAGTTTGCCGTGAACGCGATTCAATTTTGGACCACATTTTAACGAGTACAGGCCGATCATCACGGTGACGTCACTATGCCATCAGTATTGTTTCACTTAGTGCAAGTCCGTTAAAATCTCAAATATTTTTAAAAATCATTTTTAGTGCTGAGCAATGAAATATTTGCAGACTGAAGAGCCCAGCCCAAATTAACCCTTTCAAAGCTACACGTGAACTGGCGGTACTTGAATCAGGAACGCTGTAAGTAAATATTTCAATTGACCTGTCCATGCTTCGAATTAGTCACTTAAAAAAAATAATGTTTGTCGAATAACAATAATTTAACATTTTAAAGGTTGTGCTATTGTGTATTGAAAGAATTTCATTGCGGTGATGTCTGCGTGATGTCGCGAGTGTATATGGATTTTCCCGATAGATGGCGTTCGTGTCTGCCGCACTGACAATTTGAAATTATAAACGCCTTTGCAGCGAAGCGTGATCTTGAAGCCTAAAGTAGATAAGCAATTCTTTATAGCGGACAGCAGATTCAAGTACCGTCTGAGGATTGGCCACTGCAGTGTAGTGGTTTATAAATTAAATGCACGGGACTTTACCTCTCGCTTATGGCTCAGACTCCCAACATCGTTGGGGTGAGGCTCAGGCATGGCCCTCTCCGCAACATAGAGCACTATGTTCAAGAGCCTTACTTCCACTGGCTCTTTATTTTTGGGCTAGGTAATACCACCTGTTAGGTGGTGTGCCAAGCAAAACATTATGCTATAAGGTCGCTTTTACGTCGTGACTTCATGATGAGTAATGGTCACCATGACCTCATGGTGACCTCAAATTTTGGTCATTCATATTGAACATGTGAGGTCACGGATGACTTTCCGGCCGTGACTTCAATGCGACGTCACCATGACCTTTCCGTGACGATTTCGTTCTCCTTGGGAGCGCAACTTAAACCTGAGCGCAAGCAGTGAGTATATCTTCAAATATCGTGAAATTGGGGTCCGGGCAGGTTACGGGAAACAGTACAAAATTATTCTCTTTAATTGCAGCAACGAACATTTGACAAGACAAGAAGGTTTTTAGAAACTACAATACATAGCGATAGAAAAAAGCGGCCCAGCAAAATGTCCAATTTTCTGACAAATTTAGGTCTTTTGGATAAGAGAAGAACGGCAACGAGTGATATTAGATTCTGATCAAATGAAAACCGCCTCTAAAATATGTAGGGGGGGTAATTGTGACAATTGGGACATTACTAAAAGATCCTAATCCAATACTAAAATCGCGCCTATTAAGACGAGAAACTGCGAAAATTTCACGTTTCTTTTTGTTTTTGATAGAACCACGCGGATGGGTAATTCGGTAACTCAACATAATATTTTCCGGGACATGTTTATGAGGCGGTTTCGATTCGATCACAATAAACAAATCACTGCTTAACGGTTTTTTTTTTGTTTTTTGTTGTTACGAGGTCTTGACTCAGACATTAAAGAGGGGTGGGGAAAAATTCAGATCCACCTTCGCTTAACGAATAAGTAACAATTTTTTTCCTGTTCTGAGCACACATTATTTTTTTAACAGAAAAGGGTACTTCGGAGGAAACCTAGACCGGAAGTCAGTGACGGAACGGGAGGAACAAAAGAGCGTCGCGCGGCCCCTTATAAAAATTATTTGCTCCGAGATCTGTCCGAGCGGGGTGTTCCAGCCCGAAAGAGGTCCGTCGGGCTAGTCCGACGAAGCTCCAGAATGTTCCCAAATCGGCAACTTTACGGATGTGTCCGAGAACCGAAGTGCGGGCCGGTTTCGGACCGTCCGAGTCTCGGTTCCGAAAAAAATCCGACGGTGGAAAGCGAGAGGCAAGTCGTATTCGAACCCTCGCTTCCCACCTTCCTCTCTTTCTTTGCACACCAGTGCTGACGTCGGAGCCAACTGAGCTAACCCGACAGATGAGGCCCGGGGGCTCCGGTGAGCCTCTTCACTGACTCTGCGCTGCGCTCTCCGCTCCGCTCCTTCCTCTGGGCGCTGGGAGGCGTGATTTTCAAGATAGAAGAGTGGGGATTTCTCAAGGGGACAAATTGTCTTCAATCCTTCATGACCTACACCAACAGCTCGGGTTGAAAACACCGCTCTTCTGTTTGCTTCTGCTATTACATTCGTATCAGTCCCAACATTTTCACAGTTTCTAAAAGATTTCAAAACACCACACTTTTCACAATTAAGTTCAAATTTGGAGCTAA